CTCGGGGTGGCAGCGGGAGCCGAGCCGGGCGGTGGGAGGTGAGAGGAGAGTTCCGCGTGGGCCCGATCCTTGCCCTCTCCCTCCCCGGCCCCTGACCCAGTCGTAGTGGGGCGACGCCGGGAGCCAGGTCTTGCTCCCTGAGATTCGCCCGGTCTGGTCAGCCTCCTCGGACCGCGTGTTCCCCCGCCCCGCTCACCCCACCCCCAAACCTGTTCCCACCGCCTTCTGGCCGCACCGCCCCTGCTTTCTGCAAGCTCGGGCCTGACCTTGCTGCCTGCACCTACCGGCTGTCTCTTCCCGCGTCTAGCCCTCACCTTCATGCCTCAGTTCACTGCTCCTTATAGTGACCCCATCCCCCCAAGTTTAGGCCTGGCCAGTTGCTCCACTTCTCCACCCTGCTCAGCAGTTGTTGACCACCACGTCACCGGTCTCCTTCCAGGCTTGTCCTGCCCCATGGTAACTAGACCCCCTGCTTCCATGGGGGTCCACATCCTGTGTTTCCCCCTCTTCACACCTTTTTTTTTTACTCTCATCCTCGTACCCCAATATGACCCCTGTCCTGATTACCATCTCTTCATCTGGGTTTACCTTCCATTCTTATTCTCGCCATTCCCTGCCGCCCCACACTTCTTTATCGCACACCTGTCTGTTCCGGGTTCCTGGCATAGCCATCACCCTGCTCCCCTTCATAATCTGACTTCGTAGTGTCCCGTGGAGAACTGGCCTGCCTGCTCCAGCTAAGAGTAATGACGTTAGATCATGTTTACAGAGCATTCACCATGCGCAGGGCGGCTGTTCGCAGTGCTTTCCATGGGTGATCGTCTGTTTACTTGATGAGCTCAGTATGAATATCATTCCCATCTTGCGGAGGAGGAAACTGAGGCTCAGAGGTTAAGTAACTTGCCAAAAACTACACACATAGTAACTCAGTGAGCCAGTCACATTTATCTGACGCTGAAATCTGCACTATATTGCCTCTCTAATACCTCCACCATTCCTGACCTCATTCCCAGCCCTTCAACTCCACGATTACCACCTCCCTCCATAGCTGCCTGATTTAGACCGTCACCACACATGTAGAATAAATGGAGGACAGGGTCTGGTCTTTACCTCCCATGATTTTATCTGGTTCCCTGGACCCCTCCTCCTTGCACAGTACTCTCATGTGCTTTTCCCATCCAGCCATCTGGATGTGGTGTCTGCAGCCCACCTCCTTTCATCGATATTCTCTATAGCTGCCATGGCCCACTCCTTTATATCCACCTTCCAGCGCTACCCTGTCATTTATACCCCCCCCCCGGCTCACCCCTCCCCACCTGACTTTCCTCACTTGTTCTGGCCCCACAGCCTCCCATGCTGCTGTCCTTCTTGCTCATCCTTGTCATTCTTCTGAGTCCTGATCTGGATCCCTCAGACACCCTGCTGTTCTGCCCAGATTGTCCTGCTTAACTGTCACCTCTTTTTGTTACCTTGCCTGTTCTCATCTCATAACCTCTTCCATTTCTTAAACCTCTTTGTTTTACCCTTAGCTGTTTTCACTCCATTCTTCCTTCTTGTATATATCCCAGAGTATGTTCAAGTTATTTATTTCATGCTATTCTTGGCCTTTCTGCTTGGCCCCTAAATTCCATCATGCAACCTACCAGTCACCACCCACCCTATCTGTGTCTCAAGATTCTACCCCCTCCGTGTAGTCTTTCCCCTTATTCCATATCACCTTTATCTTTTCTGCTTGTGTGTCCCAGGAGGTCAGGATGGTGGGGGAACGGCGCACTGGGGACCTCATGGTGCCCTTGGGGCCTCGGCTGCAGGCATATCCCGAAGAACTTATTCGACAGCGTCCTGGGCACGATGGACGTCCTGAATACCTGATCCGATGGAGTGTCCTGAAGTGTGGGGAAGTGGGTAGAGTGGATGTGGAAGAGGGCAAGGCAGAGCACATCCTCATGTGGCTGTCAGCCCCCGAGGTCTATGCCAACTGCCCCATGCTGCTGGGTGAGTGGGCACTATCTAAAGGACCTCAGCGTGAGCCAGCGGGGGGTTCAGGAAGCTTTCCCCGAGACCCAGGAGGCCTGGATGACGTGGCAATGGGAGAGATGGAAGCTGATGTCCGGGCGCTGGTGCAGAGGGCTGCCAGGCAGCTGGCGGAAGGTGGGACCTCGAGCCTCACGGCCGCTGTGCTCCACACCATCCACGTGCTCAGTGCCTACGCCAGCATCGGGCCCCTCACTGGGGTCTTCAGGGAGACGGGAGCCCTGGACCTGCTCATGCACATGCTGTGCAACCCCGAGCCTCAGATCCGGCGGAGTGCGGGCAAGTTGCTGCAGGCTCTGGCAGCCCACGATGCCGGTAAGAGATAGCCAGGGGAGGAAGGCAAGAGAATGGGGCCATAAGGAGTAAGAACAGGAAGAGGAAGGATTTCCCAACTCTAACACCAACTCAATGCAAAGGAAAACTATAGCTGAATAGGCTACTACTTATTAATCTATATAGGATACAATGATAGGAACTGGTTTGTTTGTTCATTCTCAGTGCAGTGACAAAGAGGAGAATAGGGTAGGTTTATATTTTTAAACTGTGGGTTGAGATTCATTAGTTGGTGAATCCTCTCTATTCTTCTTCCCTCTGTCTTGGGTGGCGCCTAGTTGTAAAACCAGTTTGGTGAGTTATAACCAACATTTAAAAAAAATGTTAAAATATTAGTATTAGCATTTAAGGTAAGTTTTGTAGCAGTTCAGTGTACGTTTTGGAGTTCAGTGTATGTTTCAGTGATAGACATATACACCTACATCAGGCTGCCACGTAAAATGTATATCTTACTGTGAGCCTCAGCCACAAAGAAGTGACGACCTTGGGTAGGGGATGGAGAGTCTAGGAGAGACAGAGGGGAAGTATCGGGGATTGAGGAGAGGATACGGATTGGGTGTGGATTACAGGGAGTCGGGCTCACGTCCTTCTGTCACTGAGCCAGCAAGATGGCATCGAGCAGCACATGGACTTTGACAGCCGCTATACTTTGCTGGAGCTGTTTGCAGAGACCACATCCTCTGAGGAGCACTGCATGGCCTTTGAGGGCATTCATCTGCCTCAGGTACTCAGCCGGCCCCAGGCTGTGGGGCACATGCTGTTGTAGGCCTTGGGCATCGTTTCTGACAGTGTGGGTCAGGACTGCCTCAGCAGCAGAGCCACCTGGGAGATTGTTAAAACGAAGGTTCATGCCCCCTCCCCACTCAGAACTCCTGAGATTAGAACTCAGGAATCTGTTTTAAGACACCTCTTGGGTGTTTCTCATATAAATCACAGTTTGAGAACTATAGGTATGAGGATGAGGCCTTTATGTTTTTCTGTAGAGGGTGCTATTGAGGGGCAAGGAGAGGGGCTAAAGCTGGGAGATGAACCCACACCACAGACTGTTCCCTACAGATCCCAGGAAAGCTGCTCTTCTCCCTGGTGAAACGCTACCTGTGTGTCACTTCCTTGCTGGACCAGCTGAATAACAGCCCAGAGCCCGGGGCTGGAGACCGAGGCTCCCTGCCCCCAGGGGAGGAGAAAAGCCGGGGGCAGCGGGAGCTGGAGTTCAGTATGGCTGTGGGCAGCCTCATCTCAGAGCTGGTGCGGAGCATGGGCTGGGCCCAGAACCTCGGCGAAAGGGGCATGTCGCCTCCCCGGCCGGCCCGGTCCATCTTTCAGCCCTGCGTTTCAGGCCCCAGCGGTTTACTCCCCACCATGGTTACCACCCCCAGAAAGCAAGAACGGGCCTTCCGCCAGCGTTATGAGTTCTCTAGCCGGAGTGGCTATGGCGAATACGTGCAGCAGACACTGGTGCCGGGGATGCGCGTGAGGATGCTGGATGATTACGAGGAGGTCAGTGCTGGGGAAGAGGGCGAGTTTCGGCAGAGCAACAATGGCGTGCCCCCTGTGCAGGTGAGCGAGCGCATGGCGGTGGGACCCTGATGGGGAACTTTTTGGGTGGCGCATAGCTGGGGCTTCCGTGCAGGAGACTGGCAGGCCACCCAAGGAGAAAACTCCCAAGGGAACTAGAGTGGTTAAAGGGGATCAGCAATTGAAGGCGGGCTTTCGGGGGCCTGAGAAAATCCGGCGGGAGTAGGTGGGCTATGGGGTCAAGGAGAGACTCACACCCAGCAAGCAGAACCCCATATATCGAGACACCCCTGCCCCCTGCCGGTGTAGTTGGCTGGGAGGGCGTGTAGAAGCAGAGGCCATCAAGGTTAGGGAGAGATGAGAGGCAGGGCCTCCTCTGACAGGGAAAGGGAGCCTTTGGCTATCCGGAGGATTTCCCAAGCCTAGCCAGGTGTGCATCTGAGGGCTGTGTGCCCCCTCAAGCCTGCACAACCCAGGACTCAGATGGTGAGCCCTCTCTATTCTCCTTCCCTCTGTCTTGCTCCATACCAGGTCTTCTGGCAAGCGATGGGTCGCACCTACTGGGTGCACTGGCACATGCTAGAGATCCTGGGCCCTGAGGAAGCTGCTGTGGGTACAGCTTCAGCAGCTGTGGAGAAGGGGGCAGGGCCCACTGTGTTGGGCACAGGTGAGTCTTAGAGGGGACATGGACCTTGTGTCCCTGAACAGAGGAGGAGTGGCTGGGATGAAGCCACTCCTGATCCGCAGCTGCCCCAGAGATTCAGAAATCCACTCTGTTCCTGGCGGGTGCTGAGACCCTTCGCCTGTGTCCTCAGCACTTCCCTCCTGGGACTGGAAGCCTGTGGATGGGCTCTACTCTTTGCCATATCTCCAGCCTGAGCCTCAGAAGAATGAGAAGTTGGGATACCTGACCCAGGCTGAGTGGTGGGAACTGCTCTTCTTCATCAAGAAGTTGGACATATGTGAGCAGCAGCCAATTTTTCAGAATCTTCGGGAGAACCTGGATGAGGTATTACGGGCCTGAGACACCTAGGGGGTTTGTAGTGGGGTTAGAAGTGGGGTTGTCCAAGGGAATTCTAGATACAGGAGTGCTTGGGAGGAGGCTGGTGCTGTAGGTTAGAGATGATGAGGGGTGCTGCTGTGGGAGGAGACAGATGCTGTGAGGGTGCGGTATGTAGGTGTGCGGGGCATGGGAGAGGTGGCCACTCTTCCCCGGGACCTTGGTGTCTCTTGTCCCTGATACGCATACCCCCATCTGCTGACAGACCCTGGATGAAAAGGCCCTCGGTGAGATCTCCGTGCCCAAAGAGGTGGCTGAAGGTCTGCTGCAGGTTCTCTGGAATCGGTTTGAGGGGAGCACCCTCAGTGACCTGCTCAACTCCAAAATCTACACCAAGTACGGGCTTCGACCTGATAAACTAAGCAGCTCATCTTCTTCCCGAAGTCGCTCCTGTACCCCAGATCCAGAGGAGGCCAGGTTCTCAGAGGAAGAGACCGAGTCCCCCAAAGCAAAGGCTGAGCCCCGCAAAGCACAGGCAGAGGCTGCCAAGGGAAAAACTGAGCCCCCCATGGCACAGAGCGATTCACAGCTGTTTAACCAGCTTCTGCTGACTGAGGGAATGGCTCTGTCCCCCGAAATAAAGGAGGCAGCCAGTGGTGAGTTATGTGCCGGGAGGGGAGGGCATTAAAGTTGGAAAAAGTCGGGTGGTCCCCAGAGAAATGGGTAGTCAGAGGGAAAGACATGAAAAAAAAGGTCATGTTAGCTGGTTTGGCTCAGTGGATAGAGTGTCAGCCTGCGTACTGAAAGGTCCCGGGTTTGATTCCAGTCAAGGGTATGTACCTCAGTTGCAGGCTCCTCCCTGGTCAGGGCCCTGGTCGGGCACATGCAGGAGGCAACCAATCGATGGGTTTCTCTCACATCAATGTTTCTGTCTTTCCCTCTCTCTTCCACTCTCTCTAAAAATCAATGGAAAAATATCCTTGGGTGAGGATTTAAAGAAAAAGGCAACGTTTGCACAGGAAAGTGATTTGGAAGCATATGTCAATTTTCCTTCCTTTGGCCTCGATTGTATCTAATCAATCACAGCTCCCTTTCTTTAGTATCCCTGGAAAAGGAGGGCCTTTTTTCCAGGGAATCTTTGTCTTCAATGTTTGACTATTTTTCTTTAAAAAAATTTTTTTTTTATTGATTTCAGAGAGGAAGGGAGAGGGATAGATAGAAACAGCAATGATGAGAGAATCATTGACTGGCTGCCTCCTGCATGCCCCCTACTGGGGATCGAGCCCGTAAACCAGGCATGTGCCCTTGACCAGAATTGAACCTGGGTCCCTTCAGTCCGCAGGCTGACGCTCTATCCACTGAGCCAAACCAGCTAGAGCAGTGGTCTGAAAACTGCAGCTCGAGAGCCACATGCGGCTCTTTGGCCCCTTGAGTGTGGCTCTTCCTGAGCCTTAGGAGTACCCTGATTAAGTTAACACTGTACCTACCTATATAGTTTAAGTTTAAAAAATTTGGCTCTCAAAAGAAATTTCAATCATTGTACTGTTGATATTTGGCTCTGTTGTCTAATGAGTTTGCCGACCACTGAGCTAGGGCAATGTTTGACTATTAAATGCTTTTCACAGCATTGGATATGTTCTGAATGCAAGCTACAATGATGAATAATATATTAAAACTAGAGGCCTGATGCACAAAATTTGTGCAAGGGGCTCGGCTCTCACAGCCACTGCTTCATTGTTCTGCTGTTTGGTCTAATTAGCATATTAGCTCTTTATTATAGAGGATTATAAAGGATGTCAGTAGGAAAACTGGGCTTGACCTTTAAGGATTTCTAACGTGGAGGTGCCATATTTTTTTAAGCCACTGCCTTTCCCTCATCAATTTCAGAAATGGCTAGAGCCTTGCGGGGTCCAGGTCCACGCAGCTCCCTGGATCAGCAAGTGGCGGCTGTTGTGGCTACTGTGCAGATATCCAGCTTGGACACAAACCTGCAGCTGTCGAGCCTCGATGCCCTCTCTCAGGCTGTGGAGGAGGTCACCGAGCGGGACCACCCTCTGGTCCGTCCTGACAGATCCCTGAGGTTGGAATGGTGGAGAGGGAAGCGGTTTGGTTTAAGCTAGTGGGGTGAGGGGAGGGGAGTAGTCGGGTGGGAAGGATCTGTGAGATTAAGAATTAGGCGGAGGGTGAAAGGAGGGTCAGTCTGAGGAGCAGCAGCGCAGGAGGATGGAATATCACTGAGGCTAATATTGTCAGAGCATTTATTTTTGGGGCTTTAACGTCTTGCTTGCATTCTCTCATTAAGTCCTCCTATCATCTGAGGAAGATTCACTCCTATTCTCATCCCATTGTATGGGTGAGGAGACTGAGGCTTAGGGAGTTTAACCAACTTGCCCAGAGTTTGACAGAAAGCAGAGCTCGGATTCAAACCTAGGAACTTTTGGCTCCAGAACTTGAGTTTTTTTCTTTTCTTTTCCCTTCTTTTTTCCTACCTCCCTACTTTCTATTTTGAAATGGGTTTTTAATACCCCTTAATTATGTAAATAATATACAAATACATTCTCATTTTAAAAGATCTGAAGACCATAAAAGAACATAGAATGAAAAGCTACTTTCTTTTCACCACTGTCATTCGGATGTGTAACCTTCTGACCTTCTCTAGTTTTACATTTGTTGGTGTGTTTGGATCTAGAACATTTCCCGAGTTTGTGTCTTAATATATGTAATCACGCTACGTGTTTCTGCAGCTTTTCTCCCACACTCAGTATGTCTAACAGGGCTCTCCATGTCAGTGCGCATAGAGCTGCCTCAATATTTTCACTCTGCATAGGACTCTGCAGTACGATTATGTCCAAGTTCAAATACAGTGTTCTAATGGATCAGTTTCCCTCACGTCTGCCAACACTGGATATTAGCATATTTTAAGAATCTGTCTGATTGGCAAAATTTAAAATGATTGGTATCTCCTTGTTTTAATTTCTTAGTTCTAGTGAAGTTAGGTATATTTGCACTCATTTGTTGTGTTTCTTCTATAAATACTGTGTTTTTTGTTTGTTTCTTTGTTTTTAATATATATATTTTTTATTTCAGAGAGGAAGGGAGAGAGAGAGACAGAAACATCAGTAAGAGAGGATCATTGATTGGCTGCCTCCTGCACACCCCACACTGGGGATAGAGCCCGCAACCCAGTGCCCTGGCTGGGAATCAAACCATTACGTCTTGATTCACAGTTTGATGCTCACCCACTGAGCCATGCTGGCCGGGCTAAATATTCTGTTTTTACCCTTTGCCCATTTTCTTACTGGGTCTTTTTCTTATTGACTTATAGACATTCTGGATATTAATCTGTTACTTATGTTTCAAATATCTTGCTTGCCTTTTTTTCAAAATCATAACTATTTCCTCAATATAAAATGATTCATGCTCACTGTAAGAAAATGGGAAAATTATGAAGGTAAAAATCAGCTGAAAACCTTTATGCAGAGATAGTCACTGTTAACATTTCCGTAAACACCCTTATTTATATTTCTATACCTATTCAGATATAGTACCTATGTGTGTTAACCCATTTGTCAGAACCATGTCTGCAGAGGGCATATATATTTAAAGCGTATTTGACTCACTTTAAGATCATAAAGCACGAGAAAAGACAGATAAAAACAGGACTTCCCCAGTACCTGTATTTGCCTTCTTTTTCCAGAATTTCTTCTTTTGTGTTTCTTAACTCCATAGTTCATAGACTACCTCCTCAATATGCATCTCTGTCCCTGTGGAGAAAGATGTCATTCCTGGTTTTTCCCCTCTTGTGATGGTCACTGTGATCTAGGGACTCGGGGGGTACTTCTTCCTTCCCTTCCGATAGCATTTCCACTGGACCCTCTCTCTGACTCCTGTTGCTTATCTCTTAACTTTGTGGATAGTGCCTTTCATTGTGCTCAAGTTTTAGATTGTAGTGTTGCTATATTTTTCAACTTTTTTTTTGGCTTCTAGATTTTTTTTTTTAATATATTTTATTGATTTTTTACAGAGAAGAAGGGAGAGAGATAGAGAGTTAGAAACATCAATGAGAGAGAAACATCAATCAGCTGCCTCCTGCACATCTCCTACTGGGGATGTGCCCACCACCCAGGTACATGCCCTTCACCGGAATCGAACCCGGAACCTTTCAGTCCCCAGGCCGATGCTCTATCCACTGAACCAAACCGGTTTCGGCGCTTCTAGATTTTAAGTCCTACTTAAGAGGGGCTATCCTATTTCAGGATTACAAAAATATTTCCCGCCCTGGCCAGTGTGCTCAGTGGTTAGAGTATGGGCCCACGCACCGAAGGGTCTCGGGCGGGAGGCATCCAATCTGTGTGTCTCTCTCACATTGATATTTCTCTCTCTCTCTCTCTCTCTCTCTCTCTCTCTCTCTCTCTCTCTCTTCCTCTCTCCCTTCTCCCTTCCTCCCTCCATTCTCTTTAAAAATCAGTGGAGCCAGCTGACTTGGCTCAGTGGTTGAGCTGGTTGAGCGTCGACCTGTCAACCAGGAGGTCAGGGTTCGATACCAATCAGGGCACATGCCTGGGGGGGGCGTGCAGGAGGCAGCTGATCAATGATTCTCTCTCATTATTGATGTTTTTACCTCTCTCTCCCTCTCCCTTCCTCTCTGAAATCAATTTTTTAAAAAGCTAAAAAAAATGAATGGAAAAAATGTCCTCAGGTAAGGATGAACCAAAATTAACAAAAATATATGTCCATATATATTCTAAAAATATCCACGATTTTGACTTTTATATCTATTTTAAAATGTTTGCTATTTATTTTTGCAAATGGAGTGAAGCGGAGTTCCAGCTTTATTTTTTCCAGATGGATAGCCAGGTGTCTCCACGTCATGTTTCACATGGTCTTTCCTGTCCTTTCTGACTGGGATGCGGCCCTTGTCTCTCTTCTCATCTGTTGATCTGTTTGACTACCCTGTATTATCTCCAGAGTTTTCATTATTAGAACTTTATATTTATACTTTGATAACTAGTAGGCAAGTCTATTCTTTCCAAACATTTTTTGACTATTCCTGCATATTTCCCTTCCTGGGCCTGAATCTGCCTATCATGTTTAAAAAACTAAACTTTTTAGGCATTTTGATTAGAATTTCATTGAATTTATAGACTTATTTGAAAAGATGAGTCAGAGTTTGTAACCAGTTTATTCTGCTGACTCCTTCATGAAGTGAGGAGCCAGAGGCAGTTAGACTGCCGTGGAGGGGGCATCAGGAGTGAGGCTGAGGCAAGAAGAGCAGGTGGGAAAGGGTAAGGGGTGAGGGACTGGAACTCGGTGTACAGGGTTAGGCGGGGAGTCAAGCATGACTCTTGGGGTGGGAAACTCCAATTTCTCTCCTCCCAGAGAGAAGCTAGTGAAGACACTGGTGGAGCTGCTGACCAACCAGGTGGGAGAGAAGATGGTGGTGGTGCTGGCCCTGCGCCTCCTGTACTTGCTCATGACCAAGCATGAATGGCGCCCCCTCTTTGCCAGGGAGGGTGGCATCTACGCTGTGCTGGTTTGCATGCAAGAATACAAGACTTCTGTCTTGGTGCAGCAGGCAGGGCTGGCGGTGAGTGGACTGGGAGTGAGTGATGGGTGAGATGGGCGGGGTGGGGGACTGCTGACCTCGGGGAGGTACTGTGGTGATTTAGATCAGAGGGGAGACCTTGGGACCAAAAGATGCAGATGGATTTAAGAGTTCCAGCTGGACAGTCTTGGAGATAGAGTGCAGCTTGAAGAAAGGGAGAAAGATGTCTGTAAGAATGACTGCAGGTTTGCAATTGAGCAGCAGATGGATGAGGTGGCCATTTACTAGGTGGAAGAATGTTGGAGAAGGAAGAGGAATGGGGAGAAGGTCAGGAGTTGAGTTTTTAGGTATGTTGAATTTTCCATGCCTTTTTAGTTACAATTAGGTGTCTGGTTAAAGACTAATTTTCTAGAAGTGACAGAGTAGGTTTTTACCCTTTGATCTGAGTTTTTACCCTTACACAGAAAATACCCCTTCCCATATGTGTGTAAAACAAAGCCAACATTGCCATTGTCTTGCCACCCTGGGACCAGAAAATGGAGAAGGGAGGCCCTCGTCCAGGGGAGCTTAAGAGAATTGGCTTCCAGAATGATCCAGGCATTCATGCTGGCTGGCAGGATGGGGCAGGGTGTGTGCTCTGTATAGGCTGAGGGTCCTGGAGGGGGACAGGGAGGCCTCAGGTATGAGAATGCTTTCCAAGTACAAAGGCAAAGTGTGGACAGGAGCACAGATCCCCCTGGAGCAGGCTGTCCCAGGGAGAGGCCGGGAGGCTCTTTTCTCTGTGGGCCTACTGCGTGCTGCTTCTCCCAAGAGCAGCCAAGCATTCATCGTCTAGGCCAGTGGTCGGCAAACTCATTAGTCAGCAGAGCCAAATATCAACAGTACAACGATTGAAATTTCTTTTGAGAGCCAAATTTTTTAAACTTAAACTATATAGGTAGGTACATTGTTAACTTAATTAGGGTACTCCTAAAGCTTAGGAAGAGCCACACTCAAGGGGCCAGAGAGCCGCATGTGGCTCGCGAGCCGCAGTTTGCCGACCACGGGTCTAGGCCATGTCTGCTCATAGAATTCCCTGACCTTTTCAAGTTGCATGGCCAAAATACAGCATTTGCCTCTTGCCCTGTAACAAAATTGCATCATTTTGTATCTAACATAAGGTCTACAGAATTCAGCTAATTGGGAGAGAGTGGGGCAGTCCAAGGGAGAAAGCCTTATGATGAGACAGCACTTGCTTTGCGGGCCCAGGTCTCAGGAGGGCGATTATCCTGGGAATTATGTCTAATTCCTAGAGGGTTTCTTCTCAGGAGCCAACTCTTTTCCCAGGAGAGACCTTCTCCACTCCAGTGGTAGAGTGTTCATCTTTATTTTTTTTGTATAGTACCAGCAAACAAGTTTGCACATTGCAAGTATTTTTTCCTATAACTACAACTGCTCTGCCGGGGAGAGAGCCCAAGTAGCCTTGTTATGGAGGGTGGGACACTGGGTTTGGAGGCCAGGGGACATAGGTTTGGGAGTGTTGGCATCTAAGTGGTAACTGAAGCTATGGGCGTGGCCCAGGTTGCCTAGGGAGGGCATGCAGAGTGAGAAGAGAAGGGGGACAGGAACTTCCATGTGTAAGGACTAGGCAGAGGAACACCAGGGAGGGAGAACAACCCGGCAGACATGAAGTTACAGACGTCAAGGGAAGAGACATTTCGCAAAGGCAAGAGTGGTCAAGCAAGAAGGAAACAACTTCAAGGAAAGCTTTTGCAGACAGCTAAGTGCTGTGAAAGGGCCCCATTCTGAGGCGAAGCTACGGGAGGGGGCAGCCATCCCACCAGTTAGCCTTGGTGCTGGTAGAGAGAAACTGGACTCATATTACCACCATTGAGCCTTAGAGTTCTTTGCTTTATTTTGTCTTTTTTCTTTGTTTTTGTCTTTTAGCATTTAATGTCCCATCAGTGCCTTTTCCATTTCCTTCTCTTACTCTGCTCCCCCAAAGTTTGAGATCTAGAAGGATGGCCTGGCTCTCTCCTTCCTCTGCCGGTGGCTCTGCTCACTCCTAACTCTGCTTCCACATCCCTCTTGCAGGCACTGAAGATGCTGGCCATTGCCAGTTCCTCGGAGAACCTCGATTTCTTTACTAGCCAAGACGCTGTCCACCCGTTGTTCGATGTGCAGATGACCAGAGAGATCTTCGCCAGCATCGACTCAGCCACCCGCCCGGGCTCGGACAGCCTGCTCCTCACCATCCCTGCCGCGGTGATCTTGATGCTGAACACTGAGGGGTCAGGGCCTCACCCTCCGAACCTCAAACTCCCGCTGCGCCCCAGTCACCACTGCTCTACCCACGTCTCATCTGCCCCTCAGAAACTCCCTTGTTTGTACCTCTGGGTGAAACTTTAGCGGCCCTCTCTGACTGTCGTTGGGGGAAAGGCCAAGTGATTGAGGGCAGGGTGACGCCCAGCGAGCAGAGACACCCGACTTTTCCTTCCTTCTTGGGATTGGGAGGAGTGACCTGAGGCCGAGGACCCCTGAAGCCCTTTCCTCCCCAGATGCTGGGCTTCTCCCCGGTGTATTTTCTTCCTGTTTCTGTTGTGTTCACTCTGTCAATTTCTTCCCGGGCCACCTCTCTCCTCCCAGGTGCTCCTCTGCAGTGAGAAATGGCCTGATCCTGCTCAGCCTGCTTTTGTGCAACCACCACACTCTGGGAGACCAGATTATCACCCGAGAGCTGAGAGACACCTTGTTTAGGCACTCGGGGATCGCCCTGGGGACGGACCCCATGCCCACCACACGCACCATCCTCATGATGCTCCTCAACCGCTACTCGGAGCCGCCGGGCAGTCCTGAGCGCACAGGTACCATTGTGGGGAGGTGGTTCTGCTGAGGAGCCAGGCAGGGCCCGCCGGTGGCCAGGAAGGCTGCCGCTTGCGTCCTCAGACCTTACTAGAGGGATACAGGGAGCCTTCAGGAAGTGAGTGAGGCTTTGGTGCTCAAGTTAGGTCTCAGGTAGAACTTCCTGCCAAGAGGGGAGGATTCCTAGAATAGGGACAAGGAAATTGCCTTCTCTGAATGGCTTCTGGTGTGTGAGGTTGCCATCGGTGTGGTCTGGGTTTGGTCCAGTCTTACTGGACACCAAAAGGTTGGTTGAAGTAATTTATAGAGAGGCCTTTTTTGGTGAAATTGTAATTTACAGTACAGAAAGTTGATGACTAGAAACTGATGTCATAGGGAGGAAACCCTTTGTGTTTAACAAACAAGTGAAAACCCAGAAGTGTGGGGGAGAGTGAAATACGCAGTGTCTGTTAGCGTGTCTGTCTGAAGCCCCCGGGCTAGGTTAGTGCTGGGTGCTCTTACACCAGCTAACGTTTACTGGCGTATGTGACAGCATAGTTCACGTTTAATCATAAATATAATTGTATGATATAGGAGATTAAAAACGGTAAATGTGACAATGTTTGCCTTTCTAGACATTTCTTCAGATGTAGCTAGGTATATATTTGGGGCCAGAAAAGAAAATCCGCTATAGTTTTGTAAAATCTGCAGGCACCTCCGAATGGGAGGGAAATCTGGGGGTGATTTTCAGGACCTGCCCATTTCTCGGTTTGGCCACCTTGTATGAATCCTCTTTGTATGTATTTTCTTCCTCCCGTGTGTCTGGGCAGCAACACTGGAGCCCCCCGGTGCCCAGGGCCAGGATGGGTCCCCTGAGCTGCTGATCCGGTCCCTGGTTGGAGGCCCATCTGCAGAACTCCTCCTGGACCTGGAGCGTGTGCTGTGCCGTGAGGGGGGCCCTGGGGGGGCCCTGAGGCCCCTCCTCAAGCGCCTCCAGGAGGAGGCCCAGCCCTTCCTCCTGTTGCTGCGGACTCTGGATGCCCCCGGGCCCAACAAAACCCTGCTGCTGACTGCACTGGGGTGAGGGACCTGTCCAGGCCCGTGCGTTGGTGGCGAGGGCCGCTGGCAGACTGTAGGGACTTCACTTGTTTCCGTCCCCTCACCAGGGTCATGACCCGGCTGCTGGATTACTCTGAGGCAATGGCCCTCCCCTGGCATGAGGTCTTGGAGCCCTGCCTCAACTGCCTGAGTAGCCCCAGTAGTGACTCTGAGGTACCAGAGATGTGGCAAGGGTAGGGGAGGGAAAGGCAGCCTCGGGCCCCGGCTACTTCTGGAGGGACAGCATAGCCTTTCTGAAGGGGCTGGACACTGGGAGGGGTGGGTACGAAGGAGAAGCTAATGCCACCTAAGAGTCTCCAGAACTGGGCCTTTGAAATAGAGGTGTACGTCCCAGATACCGTGGGTTTGGTGCTAGACCACTACAGTGAAGCGAATATCGCAATAAAGCGAATTGTAATCTTTTTGCTGGTGGAGGGCCTTGCCTTTAATTTGTTAAAAATGCAACATCTGTCAAGCCCCATAAAGCTAAACGCAATAAAATGAGATGTGCCTGTATAAGCTTTTGGCTGCACCTGGATTTAGATTCTGGGTTAAAGAGAAGCCCACATTTAGCAACCCAAACATTCCTGCTCCCCACCCTTCAGGGTGTGAGAGGCTTGGGCACTGAGGTTGGCTGCTGAGATAGCTTGGCCCTGGCAGGAAGAGGCCTGGGGAGGTGTGCCCAGCTCCTGCCAGCTCACTCTGGACTCCCAGCACCCCACTATTCTGTTCCTGCCTTTGGTACTCTCCTTTCCCTGGGCTTCTGAGTTGCTCCAGGATCTCAGCCAGGACCTTTCCTGTACTAACCCCCCCTAATGTGACCTGGCCTTGTTTCCCACACGTCACTCTCTGTGGCTCCGGGTGCAGATTGTTCAGGAGCTGCTCCGCTTCCTGCACCGCCTGGCCTCGGCGCACAAGGACTATGCGGTGGTGCTGTGCTGCCTGGGAGCCAAGGAGGCCCTCTGCAAAGTCGTGGACAAGCACTCGGCGCTGGTGCTGCTGGCCGGCGAGCTTCGCGACCTGCTGACCGACTGCGAGAAGCACGCCCAGCTCTACAGCAGCCTCACCTCCAGCATCCTGGCTGGCTGCATTCAGGTAGGCAGGCTCGTGGGTACAGAGCGAAGGGAGATGGAAGGCAGAAGCAGGGGAAGGGGATTCAGTGTGTCCCCCTTTGGCATCCCTGTTTGACATGAGTCATAGCAAGCCTGGGGCATTTGTTTCCCAACCTTTACCTCACCGGCTCCTGTTCTTCCAAAATCTGGGGAAAAGTGGGTTGAGTATCTGTTGCCCTTGGACTCTTTCTCACATATGTCTTTTACTTTGTTTGTTTTTCTGTATTTTCCCCTCTCCCCCTTCCCTTTCTCTCTCACGTTTCGGCGGCAGATGGTGCTGGGCCAGATCGAAGACCACAGACGAACCCACCAGCCCATCAACATCCCCTTCTTTGACGTGTTCCTCAGGCATCTCTGCCAGGGTTCGTGCCCCCTCTGCCTTCTCCTGGCTCCCACCCCAGCATCTGTTCTTCCCTTCTCTTCTGCTCTCCAGTGCCTTTCCTTTTGTCTCTCAACTAACCAGGCTGTGACCGCCACCCCCTCCCACCGCCCCCAGGCTCCAGTGTGGAAGTGAAGGAGGACAAGTGCTGGGAGAAGGTGGAGGTGTCCTCCAACCCGCACCGGGCCAGCAAGCTGACGGACCGCAACCCCAAGACCTACTGGGAGTCCAACGGCAGCACCGGCTCCCACTCCATCACCGTGCACATGCGCCGTGGTATTCTTGTTAGGTGCGCATACACCCGCATGCACCGCCCTGTCTGAAATCCCTGAGGGACACACTCAAACCCATTTTGTGCAGTGAATAGTAGTCACATAGGTACAGAGACCCCCCTCCCCTCCGAGCCTGGTGACGTGCTCCCCAGCAGGTACAGATGTTACTTCCTGTGCTTGGTGTTGAAGGAGATCAGCCTCTCTTCCTGTGGGCATTTGTTTAACGTATACTCTGTGCCAGGCACTGTGCAATGGTCTGGAGCTACAAGGACAAGATATGGGACCTGTCATCAGGGCACATGCAGTCTAGTTGGGGAACCAGGTCGACTGAGAGCATAGAGTGAGAACATGGTCGATGTGTGCACTGGGCCACCAGCCCAGCCGAGGGTCGGAGAAGGCTTCCAGAAGGAGGGGTGGACTGAGCTGAGTTTTGAAGCAGAAAATGGCGAGATAAACAGAGGGCAATGGATATTCTAGGCAGAGGGACAGCATGTGAGCAAAATGGGAGTAAGAAACAGTGGTGTATGTGGGGAACTTTAAGTAAATGTATTTGGTTGGAATGAAGGTTATGTGTAGTGAAGCAGCAGGAGATGAAGCCAGAAAAGTAGGCTGAACCAGATCACAAAGAGTTGTGTGAGCTAAGAGGTGTGAGCTTTATTCTGCTACGTGGGGGAGCCACTGAAGGGTTTTAAGAAGGGAAGAGACAGAACTGGATGTTTAAATTTAGAACACACTCTGGCATATGGGAGTTGAAAGGGTTATGCAGTGGTCTAGTTGAAAAGTGATGGCTGTCTTCAGTTAGGCAGAGGGAATGGGAATAGCCAGGAGGCGATGGGCTGGGACGTCTTCGGTGGAGTCAGGGGACTGGCCGTGGGCCTGAAGGGGAAGCAGAAGAGGGAGGGTCA